CATGCCGGGTGTGGGCGGCGGCCATGCCGGGTGTGGGCGGCGGCCTCCCCCTTGCCCGAACCAAGGCTTCTCCAGCTCCCTGCAGGACCAAGGGCTCCCTGGACCTGCCTTTAATTACAGCGCAGCCTCAGGGCTTCGGGCCCACAACTATTGCATCCTGTTTATTTTATTTGTGCACCGCACACCCCTCATCACCACGTTGCCAAGAGAGAGAGCGAGCAACGAGGGGAGGCAGAGCTAAATCACAGTGTCCCGTTAGAAGCAGCGCTTGCCATCATGTTTGTTTAGAGAGTTTGTTCCTCTCCGTTGAGAGAGGAATACAAGGGCCGTGGCTGCCACGTGCTTGGACACGATGATGTTAAAGGTCTTTTCCAATCCAGGCACCTCTGTGTTCCCCTCACAGGTCGGCTGCCCCTCTCAGGAGCCTTCGGTGTCAGTGTTGTCGCTGCCCGTGGTGTTCTCCCAGTCCGCCTCGTGGTGTCGGGCCTTGGGCACCCTTCGCACCGCTCTTTTTCTGTAAACAAGACTAGATGTTTCATTTTTAGAAGGGTGTTTTCTGCAAGCAAGTGGCAGCTGAATGGTTGGGGGAGGTCAGGGCGGAGGTTCAGTGGGTATCACTCCACTTAGTGTTTAATTGAACGTGATGGTTTGCTCACACACCCAACAAAGCTGTGAGTGGTAGCAAGTGTAGGGTAAATTGGGCTAAACTGATAAAAGACATTCTTACATTTCTTGAAGTGTGGTATATTGTTGATGTTCAGTTGAAGAAACCAAGAAATCCTACCCAAAGTCCTTTCTTTAGTAAAAATAGTATTATCAACAGTCAGGAGAGTCATTTACAGTGCCATTAGTATCACTTACAACTAATGCTAGAGCTAAGGTCCCTGTTTTACAAGGTTTTCTTCTGTCTCATGCTCCATAAAAGGCAGTGATCAGTGAAGACATGAGACACTTGGAGAACAGGCCTTCAAAGAGGAACATTTGAAGAGGACAGAGGGTGGAAATCTGCTCCCATTCATAGCCATGGGAACTTGATCTAGAATGTCAGGAGTATGTCAGACAGATTTCTCCCATGTGAGTGAAATCTATCAAATTTATTAAGCTAGCAATTCTTTGGAGCATCCTCCACTCCCTGCTGTGGAGCCATCTGCATGGTCCACAGCAAATGCAATCATTGCTATCTTGGCTACCTCTGGTACTAAATCCGGAGTCTCAACCAGTTCAGCTAGAAGCATGAGCCTCTGACAGTAAGATCTGTAATGAATTTATGCCCTCTATGAATCAAGCCTGGGGACAGGGGATGAACATAAAAGAGAAAAGACATACAAGCTAATCAGTTAAGTCACAGGAGTATGTCTAAATTAATCCTGCTTACTAAAGTCCAGACCTTCGGTAACGCTCAAAGCAGTCCTTCATCCTCCTCTGCTCCTTTTCTGCCAGTTCCTCACTGGCTAAGCCACACTCCTTGAACTGGGGAAAAAACAAAACAAAACACCCAAACAAATATGAACTGGATTCCTCTGAAGATCACATCAATGTCAGTACCAGGTATTGCAAATCTGCTCTGCAAAGGTGACCACTTTTGAGAGTCGTGTACTGCATTGGGCCTCTGCAGGGTAAAGGCTGCAGACCACCCAAATGAGCTTGGTCATTTCTCCTCTCTGCCTTGTTTGTGCAAGGAATCATTTTACATTTAAATGAAGGAGGAAAAATTGGGAACCTATGCCTTTAGATGACCAAGAATAGCTGCTCACTACCAAAACCCTCCTCCAGGAAAGCCTGCATACAGCTAGCTTCCTGCATCTCCTTGGGCCTGCAGAATGAAGTACAGCATGTTCATTTCTAGTCTGTCCACTATTGTGTGTGTGAGATGGTAATATATCTGTTTCACACAGTGTTACCATCTTTATTCTCTCCCATTTGTAAATCTGTAATTCTGTTTCCTGTACCAACAGTAATACTGCAGACAATTAAAGTGGAAAACATCCGTACCCAGAGATGAAGGCCAAAAAGTAATTAGACAAAGTCTCTAGGCACAGACAGAGAAATAACCACAAATGTTGTGCTGTTCAGAGCTCACCATTTTTGGAGGGTGAATTTTGCACAAAGAAGTGCTCAGATTTTGGAAAAGTGGTAGCTGCTTACATGCTTCTCAAACCTGGTAAATCCATCACTAACAAGAACATTAAAGATCACAAACCCCAGTCGTAAGAAAGAAGAGCCCACAAAGATTCTCTTACACTGGGTGACTTTGGAGGCAGACTGCTCTCTCGAGTGCTGAATTGCTGGTTTTGTCCTTCAGGGCAATCTTCTAAGAGAAGGAAAAATCACAGCGTTAGTCATAGTTGCCATTGCAATGTAACTTCTCCCTCCACCAGTTCATCAAACAGCAATCACTGTAGTGTAACAGCTGCCCAGCACTACACAGAGTCACGAGCAGAACTGAAACCAAGCCTCAAAACGTTCAGGATTCAGTCCTGCGATCAATGCACGAGTCACTTCTCATTTTCCTTGAGCCCTGAATCTTGCTTAGGATGATGGAGTTCCCCATGAGGCTCAGCAAGACACAGCAGCTCTCTAGTTTCTGCTAATGCAGGAGCAAAACGAACCTTTGCAAAGCAGCACCTCTGCTTAGCATCATTAAAAAAAATGATCACCTTAGAGGTGTCCATGAGAAATCATGTTAATCCTTATTTTAACCATAATTCATCCCTGTTCCCTAACAACTAAGTTGTGTATATCAAGGCACTTCACATCAGACCATATTTTAGTGGAAGTCCTTAAGTAGTGATCAGGTACCATGATAAATGTTTTGAACTGAGTGAGGCAGAATAATAAAAGGCTTTTTGGATCAGTGTTGTTTAGCTTTTGTGAAAAATATCCCATCTCAATGAATGAAAAAATCATTTAGATTTTCCAGGAGACCAAAAGAGAAAATTTCCTCTACTGTGCTAGTCTCCTTCCTTTCTCAACGTGTTTTGAAAGAGAATTTCAAGTTCTTATAGGAGCCCATTAATTCTTTTCCACACTGCTGAATCATTTCCACTGGGGATGCCACAGAAACAGAACCAGTGACAGTGTTAACTACGTGGTTCTGCTTTTGTGAATATATTCTGCAACATAAAAGGGAAGGGGAGAGAAAAATCCCTGGAGAAAGCCACATGGTCCAGCTGGAGTGGAAGGATGTCAGTTCTGTTCTCAGTTCAGCCACAAATGCAAGAGGAGTGGGAGGAAAAAGGCACCCAGGAGCTCTTTCACAAGGCACCAGGTGATTTTTCCTGGACAAATTCAGTAGACATTACCTGAAAAAAAGACTCCAGGTCCTAGGGTGGTCTAATGGTACCACTTTTCTCAGGTCACTCAGCTGTATGAGAGACTCCTTCAGAGATCGTGTAGTAAAAAGACAGACTGTGGAGCTTTTTCTCCCCAAAAAAGCTTTACAAGCATTGACCGTTCCCAGCATCAGGGGACACATGCTCCTTTTTATAGGTGAGAAAGATGGTGGTATGGCAGGATGCCTTGATTTATGGGTGCCTATTCTGAGTCATCTCAAGGAAGTCTTACTCAGCGTGCCAAGGACACCCCACTGAGAAGCATGTCTCACCAACCAAGTCCAGTCAGACTGCCTGCTCTTCACTAAAAATAAAACCCACAAAGACCTTCCTGCCCCTCTGAAACACTGGACCATCCTCTCAAGAATTCTACTCAGTGTTTTCCCACGAAAAGCCTTACTTTTAGGCAGCTGTGTATCTTCATCTAGATGACCGTGAAGAGTAAGCTATGGGACAGAAACAAAGCAAGAACATGAGAACTGCCCCTTACTCTGCCTCACACAGTAGCTAGGAACAGATGGAGGAATGTAAGAAACAGGACACGTGCAGAACCGACCTTTTCCTAGTGCATCTTGCTGTCAGCAAAACAGGAGACTTTCTGAGCCAGAAGTTACAGACCTACTCATGGATTTATCCTCCATGAATATACTCAGGTCCTTTGACTTACAGTGTGACAATCACTTCCACACTGAAATTATGAACTAAGTCAAAACTCTTTACTACAGATGTCCCCGGGGTAAGACTTACTTTTGCCTGTTCTCCCACAAGAGAGACAATTAGAAATTCAATTCCCCTAATTTGCTTAAACTCACCAAATCTTGCTGGCTAATGCCATTAACTGTGTCCTACACTTAGAAATCGCGGGACACAGGGAGATTCTGTCACTGGTCTGTTTTGCTGCCTCTGTACTTTTTGATATCACTAAAATGAGCCTGAGCCATGGATTGAAAACTGCTGCTACTCAGGGAACTGAGCACAGGTGGGGAACCTGAAACCCTCCCAGAAAAAAGGAAAAGGTAAACAAGACACTGTACTCACTTCCTGAGAATCTCTGGAGGAGGTATCATCCAGGTCAGAAGTCTGAAATAAAACCCATATGAATTAATCATTCCTCATAAGCAAGGAAGTGGCAGTAAGGGAAAATACAGAAGGCTGAAAGCTCCAGAAAACAGAGAAGTGTGGACTTCCTCCCTCCTACACTCCTGTCTGACCACTTGGAGAAAGTACACGAGATGCCACATTAATTAAAACCCCTATACATCTAAATTAGTTCCAGAAACTTTAGCACCCTTACACTCTTGCTCCCAATTTCATCCAAACGGCTCGTACACAGTCTCTAGAGCTCCCTCTTTGGTGGTTGAGGATCCCCTCATCATCTCCAGACATGCTCTAAACACAGGCACAGAAGGCCTCAGCTTGCATCAGTCGAGCTTAGTGCCAGGAACCAGTGTGACATAACAGGAACCACCACATCTTTCCTTTTTCTAAACTCAGCATTTGTATGGAAATGGTTACCCACGCAGCTGGCCACTGCCTGCTGAATGTGAACTGGTTAGGGGCAAAGGCCTCGGAACAGCCACACTCTGCCAGCTTCCCAACCCATCACACAGATGACAACCCTGCAGACATACCGGTATGGGTAGCTCCAGTTGCAACCTCTTCAGTTTGGCTTCAGTAGCCAGTAACTGACTCTCCTTTTGGAAGAGCTGCAGTTGCATTTCGTCACATCGCTCCCCCAGCTCCCGAATCTGCTTGCGGTAAGTGTCCCTCTCAACCAGGTTCTTGGAGTACTGCATATAGAACTGCTCTCGGGTCAGGAGTGCCTGGGGTAAGGGACAACACGTCATGGCACGGCACACAACGGTACATTCAAGGTTACGGCATCTGCCCACTTCAAGCAGCAAAGCACAGATTAGCAGCAGCTCCAAGAGGAATGTTTCATCACCTGGTCTCTTTCTGAAGCCACTTCTTCCATCTGCTGCAAGACAGCTTCAATCCGTTTTTTATACATCTGGGAGTCCTTTCTCAGAGACATGCACTGTAGTTCAAGCATCTCTTTTTCTGCTGAGTACTGCTGAGACAAAGTCAAAAACACCCTGCTTGTGGGGAGACTCTGAGCTAGACTCTCACCGCTTCTGCCACTGATTGCTATGGCCAGACCTCCATGCAATGTCAAAGTTCAGCCAGGCTGTCCAGTTGGAGCATGGCCAACCAGGAGGCTGGTCAACATGACTAGGAGGATGCTACCATGACCGATTTACATGTACCTGAGCTGTCAATCATGATAAAAGCTCCCATCACTCTCCAGGCTGAGGCAGGAACAGTTAATTAACAAAGGCATTAACAGGCAACAGTTAATGCCACAGACACAGAATGCTGAAAGATCAGCATGCCTTTATCAACAAACTAGAACACAAGACCCCAGAGTAGGAGCTCAGTTGCTGCCGAGCAGCTGCTCTGCTCCAGAGGCAGGACATTGCAGGTGCTTCATCTGCCTGTCTTACCCACTGACTTTGAGAAGAATTTGCAACATATCACATACTTTGTCTTGGAGCACCTCAGCTTGCCGCAGCTCCTTGCGAAGGCTGTAAATGGTGTTCATCAGCTCCCGGCGTTCTTCTAGTATTTGGCTACAGTCATTCTCCACAGTCTCACTGGAGGGGCTCTTCTCCAAATTTTGCTCCCTGGCAACCTGCTGGACAAAAAACCAGAGTGAGATACAGCAACCACGTAACCCTATATTAACTCTCTCTTCCCTCCCCACAGCCCTAAGTGCTCTATTTGACTTGGGAGAACAAGGCCACACCTGACCCCTGCAATCTTCAGTGCAGCCCCATCAGTGCCCTGGCTGCTAGAAATAATCACTTCTCAGGAGTCCATATCCAACCACCCCCACCAACCTGGAGAGTGTTCTCCAGCTCCTGATTCTTGGCCAAGAGCAGCTCCTTCTCCTGCTGGATCTCCCACATCACCTCATGGCTTGGACGCTGCTCTATGGCATGCTTCAGTTTCATTGTGTGCTTACGCTCCAGTTTGCAGTCATCTTCAGCCTTCATGAGGCTGTGCTTCAAGTGATCGATCTACAGGAAGGTTCAGAGCTCATCAGTAACAAGGAGAAAACTCTGGCCTGCAAAAGCAGTTCTCTTTCTATTCCCCAGACAAACATGGGGCAAATTTCTCCCCAGCTTTCTTTTCCTCAGGATGTTTGTTGCTCTGGGGACCAGAGCACCACCTGTGCGCTAAATGGATACAACACCCTTGTGAGAGGGCCCAGTCTCGAGTGAGGGGAAAACTGTTAATTCTTCACAGCACAACAAGTAATGCATGGGCTGAGCTAGGGACCACCAAGACAGGCCACCTGCCAGAGAAGATGCACAGAACCTCATGCTGGACTGGTCCAGACCATCGCAGGCAGAGACAAGTGTGGTGCACAGCACAGCCTTCCAGGGATCAGGCAAGAAAGGGGAAGCCGGAGAAAAGGACTGACCTGTAGGATCAGGTCTCGGTTCTTCATGAGGGCAGCGCTCTTCTCCTCACTCTGTTTGGCATAGCTCATTGCCAGGTTGTAGTTCTCGTCCTTGCACTTCCGCAGCTCCTTGCTCAGGCTGTCCCTCTCCTCCTTCATCTTCTGTGCCCGCTCTTGGTGCTTGCGGAGCAGGCTGTCCCTCACCCACATCTCTCTGATGGTGTCCTCTTTGGTGTGCAGCCACACGGTGAGCTCCTGGGCCTTCCTCCGTTCCTCCTGCACGGTGCTCTGCAGCTTCATGATCTCGTTCATCAGGAGCTGGCTCAGGCCAGATTCCCCAGCAGTGTCTGTTTGGTGGGCAGGCATCAGCCACCGCTGTCCTGTCTGTTCTCCAGACATACATACAAGCACAGGTTCCCACCCACTTATCACTGCAGCTCAGGATCATCACGTGCCATGCACAAGCATGCAAACCCTGCAGACACGTGTGGTCGAATTATCCCCACTGCTTCCCCCTGCTCTGTGCCTTTCTATACCACAGTGTCCCTGACAGAACAGGCAAAAGGAAGAATTGATCCTTCTGCTTGCTCCTCCACCCTCCCAAGTTCAGCCTGTGATGCCAGACACCAGGAGCAAGAGCCATTCTTGCCAGAACCCTCCCAAAGCACACAGGGAGCAAGCCAGGGAACGCTCCCGACTGCTCACCAAAGCTGCAGAGAGGCAAAAGCAGAGGTGAATTCCCCCCTTAATCTGCACAGCAACACCAAAGGAAGAGCTGTTTTGTCAGAACACAAACATTACCTATAATCATAGAGAAAACCCTGCTGGGCTCCTTGCCAGTTATTTTCTTATACAGTTGTGGATAATAAAGCTCAAGGCTCTCCAGAAATGCCTCAAAGCCCTTGCGACCCGTTCGCTGAAGAATGTCCAGAAGAACACCTGAAATAATAGCAACAGGATATTCTATTCATTTATTTGTCTCTCTACTTATTTCTAACAGAATAAAAACTTGCTCTGCTTTTTCCACATGCAGACTAAAGTCCCTGGGATCAAATTTCCCAGTCAATCCTAAGCCAGTTGCCCAGTAACTATACAAAAGTATTTTAACTAACTGTGACAGAACAGTTAAAACTTAACCCTTGTACGTAGCTCCTACTACAGTGGGTGCAAAAAGCACATCTCAGCAGAGCACTTTATGTTATCCTGCTAATAATTACAGAAAAGGTAAGTTGAAACAAAGCACCATCACAGTTTCTGCAGCTCGAGGCTCCACTTCCAGATACCAGAGGCAAACATGGGGAAAAAAAGGCCACTAGTGTAAGAAGACTGTGTGTAACTAGAAAGGCAGCAGGGACAAGCCTGGCCTAAAAAGACTTTGAGCTCAGTTCCCTACTTTGTCTAGAAATACTCTGTACCAAATCAAGCACTCTGTTCCAATCTGCTCCCAAGAGCTGGTGGAGCACAGGAGCATCTACGGAGCCGAAGGCTGCGCTTCACCTACCTGCCTTCCGTTTGCGCATGACCAGGCTGGGGTCATTTAGAACTTGTTCCTCATCATCATGGCTGATCACTTTGCACTGGCGGAGATAGGGTGTTAGATGGGAAGGATCTATCACAGAGATCAGCTTCACCCGGAAGTCTTCCAGGTTATTCCAACATGTCTCATCACTATCTTCTTCCAACATGTTGGTGAGTGAGAAGTGTCAGCGAGCAGCGTTGTCCTGTCTTGAAAAAACAAAACCAGAAAACAAATAAGCAGACTCTAAGCCTCCTAGAGTAGTGGGGGGTGGTGAAACCAAGTATGTTAACAGACTGAGAACAGAAAAGTGTCTTTTAGATACAGGAACACATCCCCCATGTGGTCTTTAACTCAGCGCTTGCAAATCACCTGCAGAACATGGTGGCACACTACAGTCATACCTGAAAGAACAGCGTGGTACCAGACCGGAGGTATCGCAACTGTGCTGCTAGTGCCAGTGCTGCTGACATATATGTGAAGGGCAGCTAGCATGAAATTCTGAGAAAGCAGAAGTCACCAAAGCTTGATGATCTTCCTCCAACCAACTGAACATCTCCAGATCTCACTGCAAGAGGAAAGTGAAACTATTTAGCAATAGGCTCGCTGGCAATAGGCAAGTCATTGAGAGCCCCATGAACACAGGAAAATCAAACTAACTCTGGATTCCCACCAGCATAACCCAAGAAGGTGCTGTCGAATCTCACCGACTTCACCATGGGTTCTTCAGATTCTCAGCTACGCTTAGAGTAACATCTTTAACCCCCATAAAAAATACAAAAAGGATGGAACACAACAGAGGATAAGCTGATGGCAAACCACAACTTTCCAATTTTCCCTGTTAATATAAACCAATCTGCATTACACGGACCAACCTGAGCCTCTGCAGTCAAAAGTTTCCTTGTTTCCTCTCCTGGTCTAGCGACACTCATCTGTGTCCTGTCTCTGAGAAAACTTGTTTTGGATGCAGCTTCCCTTTATATTCTGGCTAGAGCAAAGATCATTCCAGGAGCAAAACTGGATTGAGAAAAAGAGAAAAGGGGAAACTACTCAGCTATACTGTGAGACAGGAAAGGGGAGGGGGGGGAAAAGAAAAAAAAAGGGGAAGACAGAATGGGTGATGGGGGAGGAGAAAAACACTAGTTGCATTTTGAGTCAGCAGTGTGACATATGCAGTGATTTTAGACTCATTCTGGCTTTGCCTTCCAATCTGTACCACTGAAGTACCAGCTAGGGCCCAGAAAGTTTCTTTTTGTAGCAGTCAGAAACACTAAAAAGAGTGAAGGTCCCAGACATAGGTCTGTCCAGCTGATTTCAGGGGACAAAACAAGCAAGAGATAGAAGAAAGAGGCTCTTCAAATGGCCTTTCAGCTGTTACTGTCTTTATAGAAGAAAGCAGGTAGCAGCAAGAACTCTATCCTGGTTTAGAGCTCAGCTGAAAAGGATGATTTCTATTATGATGCCTCTAATTTTGGATGTCCTTAAGCTTCAAGCAT